TCGATGTCAAGTATTGATGCCCTGTTTGCTCTATGGTAACGGTACGGTAGTATAGTAACGGAGGGCAAAATGAACACGGATCAGAATAGGATCGGATCGGATCTGGAACCTCTCAAATGGCTGTATTGTATTAGTCATTGAAGCAAAAGACTTTTCTTGCGTATACCACAATACAGCATCTGCAGGAAATTACATTGTAAGGCGTTTACATTAACTGGACTTCTTTTTTAGTAAGAGACTTCACACTCGTGACCAGGTGCTTTAACTGCCAGCAGTTCGGACATGCAGCTGAATATTGCCGTGAAACAAGCCCAACCTGTAATCACTGTGGAGAGTCCGGGCACTCTTCTAAGGTATGTAACAACAAATCTACACCACCCACTTATGCAACGTGGAATAGAATCCATGACCTCCAGGTTAGCAGTGAAGGTCACTGACCTGACTAGGCCAACGAGTCCGTCAATCAGGTACCTAGATATATTTTGCAAGTTGCTACTTAGCGGTAGCTCATTGTTTGTCTTTTATAGGTAGGAACATATTACCATCTTGATTTGTTTCATAATAGTTAAATAATGCTACTTTAACTTTAAATATTTCACAATCGGACAATGATACTGGCAAATCATTAGATCATAGAAGATCGACATCTTGACCACTAAACCTATACATTACCATTTCTCATCTCTACGATAATGGATCTTTATCACTTTTAACTTAATTAAGATATTAGTTATTACGTTGGACGAGGGTTCAGAAGAACCTGAAAGAATTAAACTTTAACATTATTGGTGAAAAACATTATTAACCATTGATGCCAACCATAAGGCCTTTGACTCTGTACTTAGAGATTCGTCTATTGAGAGTACCGTTGAGTTCGAAAACAGATGTCACACAAAATTAATTATGTTAAACATCCGCGTTGCGGTTTTTGTAACCTAAAACTATTATACCATGTTTACTTATGCCTAATGATATTTATGTATAATGTTTTAGTGTTTTGTTCAATTTAGAACGTTCTAAAAGGAAAGAGGAGTTCAGGAAGTTAGGTATTCACAAAATTGTAGTCGATGTTTTAATTCTAAAGTCACAATATAGATCACTGTAACAGCCCATTTAGAAACATAAAGACTATAACTTTCAATGAACTGCGTTTAAGCTATATTCAAGTTTTTTTTTGCAAAATTATATCTTAAAATAAAGCAGCAGAGTCAAGCTCTTATCCATTTCGTCATGAAATGTAGGAGTGCCTGAAAGAGGATGTCGAGTGATCAAGAAGAATGGAAGTTGAAAACTCATTGCACCGATCCCAAATAAACTTCGGAAGAGAGTTGGAAGATGATGATGATGATTTTATTCATTTACATAATAGTCAATAAGTCGTATATTTCATGGAATTAAGGAATTGTTATGAATCAAACATTACTAGACTTATCAATATGTACTTCAGTAGTGATGCCATAAGCAATAATTACCAAGCACATGAGTGCATAGTCGTTTCTACTAGTCTTGGCAAACCAAAATTGAACTGACCAACTTGTTTTGCAGTGGTCGGTGAAGGTAAACTTCTCAAGACTTCTAATTTACAAGGTTCTGGTCTAACTTTAACAACTAGAGATATGTGTAGAAATGTTAAGTTGGTTTGTGTACGCTTTATAAACTCAAAAAGTTCTGCACCGATTGAGCTCAAGTTTTGACACGAATACAACTCGCTTCAAAGATTGTTTGATCTATTTACCGCATCAGTTTTGTTCCTCATTTCTAATCAATACAACCACAATGTGCCACAGCGAAGCGTTGCAGAGTACAGCTAGTATAATATAGTTATTGAATTTAACACAACTGTATTTACATAAAATATAATGATTACAAGTAAACTCTCGTTCCTTTCCCGAACGAATTTAACAAAAACATACCTAAATAAATACATGGTTAGGTTGTTTTCGTATTTCATGTCTATTAGTTTCTATCGTACCGTTTTACCCTCCGTTTACCTTGTTTTAATACAACGGTATTGCAATATGTGTATGTACTCGTATTTCTCTTTAAAATTTTATTCAAATTGATTATATTAACCGTGAACATAGGTAGTGTACATGTACCTACATTATTTGTCTACATAATATGTGTACTAAAACTAAAAAGATTTTTGCAGTAATAATAGAACAAAAACAATATCCTTGCTATTTAGAAACGCTGACAGAAGATATATAAGAATTAATAATAAAATACATACGTTAACTTGTTGACACCAATGAGAACACCTTTGTGACAGTCAGCTTTCTTGGGTAGCGACTTTAATACAGTGAATATAGTAATAATAATATTGTCCATGGATTAATTGCTAAGAGCCTCGACCAACATCTTTAGAGGTTCGCGTTTGTATATAAATATATTTAAAAATGTAATTTATACTTATTTTTAATGAAATAAGAGAATAATGATATTTATTTATTTGACTAAAATTATTTTACAGTGTTGGACATTTTTATTTAAAATAGATCTTCAACAGTAGTTTCGTTAATCCTTAAGTAACACCAGTGTAAATATGCTAAGGACAAATATATGTATAAATTCTGTAGACTATAACTGTAGACTATTAAATCATTTAATGTTTTATTTTAATACTTAATGACTAAACAGTTGCTCTGTGACATGTACGAGTATAACTTTTCTGTGTCAAAAGTTAGATATTGTGTAATCGAAGATTGTAAACAATATGTGCCGACCACGGCAATTTAAAAACACTATTAACTCAAATTTTACGCAGCATTTGTACATAGATTTTATTTTTCTTAGGACCATTCTTGAATAATAAAATTAATAAGATACTATATATATAGCTATAATAACATATGTCATCTAGGTATATTTCGTTATGCAGTCACAGAAAATATGTTAGAAATTGTTAAATGAGACTGAAATAATTAAATATGATTGAATGTGATTTGCTTTTGTACGTGTATATTTTTATACTATGTATTATTTTTATGTTAATCTGTTGTGCTTTATTTTACTATTTAGTAAAGATCTGATCCAAACTCTAAGTCAAGCGATCGCCTGAAATACAGGTTTACTCTAGTTCAGACAGGCAGAGCTAAAATCAAATAAGTTATTGACATTTTTTAAATAAAATGTAATAGACACCAATCTGAATGGTTATTCGAATTTAATGTTATATCCCCATATATAAAAGTGGTATATCTCAGTCAAAACAAGAAGGTAATTAAGGCTCTCTATAAACCGGATGACACAGCTCACACAGCTCTATAAGACAAATCATTATTGATATTGCATGCGTGTGAGTTGTTTTAATTGTGTATATAATCGCTTGTTGAATGTGCGCCGAAGTTGCTCTACTGTGACTAATTATTAGTAATTGCTACACTTATGCCATTTTTCTTCAGCCATTAGTTCTATTTACGAGCTGCAGTAAGCATGCACGAATCGCACGAACCAAACATTAAAATGAATATTAACGTAGGTGCACGCATTATATCACCAAATACGAAAATTATATTAGGTGTTTCCGCAATGATCCAGAATACTACGGGAAATATTTTTGTAAGATTCTCAAATTAAAGATACAAATCAAAAAACGTTTTTATTACTCTTTATAAGGTAGTTGAAATGGTTTTCCAGTACGCAAGCAAGAAGGTGTCTTTAAAGTGATTTAATTATTGACAACCCCTAAGTTCTAGACTATTAGTTAAAGAAATATCTGCTTTTTCCATAAACAACATTGCAAATGCCGGTGGAGCTACCACCAGCGTTCTTAATGAAGATCGGCTTTCTTAATCAAGATAAGAATTCAAAACTTTTATATCATGAAGGTCCCTCTCCGTTTAATGTCGAGATGAGGGCAATGACGGTCTCTCTTTCCACAAAAGTTTGAGTTTTCCGACATGACCAGATACCGTCAACAATTACCCACCTATCAGGTACACGTGCAATTGATATTACACTGTTTTAATTCTGTAACAATGTTTTTAGGTATTTTTACTTTGTTACGATTTTAGGCCTTTACAACTCAAATGATCTTCATGAAATTTATTTATAAGTAGGTCTGTTAATAGGTAGCTCAGGAGTACAAAAAAGTGGCGTAAGTTTAATTAAAAATAACAAATATCTTTGAAATAAATATATCAGACAAAAAAACAGAACAGGAGCTAATATGTAGGAGGTATACCTAGCTATATTTTAGGAAATTAATGTCCGTCTTTCGTCCCGACTGCGGGACGAAAGAGTGATTATATAAATACCTACCTACATAGTGTAATTCTAACAAAAATAAGCTCCTTTAAAGTCAGGACTTAAAATACAAGTTAAGCTTTTTCTAATTCCGGCGACATACACTCACACTGTAACAATTTAGCTTTGGATTGTTTAGACGTACCTAATGGGCATGTATAGGTTTACTTTTTTTAAGTTTTTATTTCTACTTATACCTACCTATCTACTTGTTATGCCTTTATTTAAATATCATATTTAGAAATTTTAAATAAATGCTTTAGAATCTTCCATACCAAAGGTAGGTAGGTATTAAGATTTTTAACCATGAATTTTAGGTACTTATACAAAGTAGGTAAGGCTTACCTTAACAACACTACAGAAGGAACATACGATTGAATAATAAAAACATATTACATAATTAAAAAAATATAAACCTATAAAAAGAATGGAAAATAAAAATGTTTATTTTGTTCGTAGGTAACCTAAAAATATCTCTCTGTTACCTACCTACTACACTTAGAATATATTGTTTGTTTTAAGAAGTATTTGTCAAATATTTTTATTGCAAAATATAATTTAGTTAGTAGGTATCAGTCTGTTCCATAAATATAATTTTTTCCCATTTGACGGGCGTACAAAGCTACGCGGCTGCCTGACACGATAGCCTCAATTTGGCGGGCGTGAACCAATTACTAGAGTACAGTGTCGCCAACTTTCAGTAAAACGCCGTCATAAAGTGCGATATCCCGCTGCGAGAACGCTTTATTTTCCTATAAAAGCGTTTTATCCACGTATAAAAGCTTAAATCCGCGCGGAGCTTTCTCCCGGCGGCGAGTCGGCAAAAAGAGCATTAGCGCGTCCCTGCGGCAACATGGCCGGGGCACGCCCCGCACGGCACGCCGCTCGTTGGCTGGGCGGCGCGCGTCCGCCCGCACCGCTATTGGCCGGCGCCGCCTCCTGCCCACGGCGCGCTCAGCGCCAGTCGCACCCGAGAGCTCGTCGCGCGCGACGTGTGTAGCACCCGCCGCGCACCGGAACATACGCGATCACACATCACGAACAACACGCTCGCTGACAATAACAGTTCTTACACTCGCGGCCTGTGCTCAATTAATTTATTGCTAAAAACTATCAACGCCAATTTACACTTTTATGTACCGTGTGATTTATATTAACTTTAAAAATTACAAGACTGATAAGATCTGTGAACTCTAGAAAATAGTGCGAAAGTCATCACCTACTCTGATCTGAGTTGAAGGATTCTGAAAGTACCTACAGAGATCTCGTGGTTCGTGGAACCATCTCAAGTTGAGCGTACATGGTGATGTGTGCGCAGAAGTGGCGGAGTTAGAAACAGTGATTGGAGTTTGGTAGAAGAAGCGGCAGTGTCGAGTCAGCAACCTGTGATGTACCGGTTGCGGTGACCGTGCTGCGATAGTCGAGCTGGGGGCGAGCGAGGTGCTAAGCGTGGGGCGGGGGTGGCGCGCCCCCGCGCTGGATGCGGTAGGAGCGGCGGGCAGCGGCGGTGGTGGTGGCGCGGGCCCCGCCGGCAGCGCCCTGGCGATGACGGTGCAACGAGACGAGCGCGACGCGCGCGCTCCTCGCACACGCTTCATGATTACGGATATACTTGACGCACCTACCAGGGACCTCAGCGTGCACAGAGACTCAGACTCTGATAGATCAGCTACAGATTCACCAGGTTAGGAATAACACATTTAATACATAAACTAAACGTATAGTAAGTAGTAGACTAAGTGAATACAAAGAGCCCAATACGAAAGGTGGCATAGTGTTTATTGTAGGTAAGCATTAACTTAGTAACATGTGTTCGTTAGGCCCATGTGAGTAAATAACGACCTAAGTAGTAAATGCGATCTTTAAACTTTTTTATCAATATATAAGTATTATGTACATAAGAACACTTTAATGGTGATTCTTGGAACTTTAGTTGAGGAAGATGCTAAATATATTGAGCGTTAAATAACTGACATAAGCTTACATTTTTAAACACAAAATTTATTTTATAGATAACTGTTCAATATCACTTTTGAACTGTATTCTATATGAAAAAGAACGCTATGTTTATATAAAAAAAAATACTATACCATAGTGTCTTGTAACTTTCCCGGCCATTCGAATATCTACTCCGTGCTGTCTAAGAAAAGACATCAACGCCAAGCATGATACACACAATAGATACTACAATATGTTTTGTCATCCATAATTTATGGTTGTTTTCACCCATAATAGTTGCATGGCTCATTACGAAACTGTAACAGCATGATTGATATGATAACTTGATCTACTTCGATTGCTGGGAACTGAGTGGATACAAGTGCTTGATTTCAGTCACGCGACGTCTGTTTGAAGCGAACTCTTTGAACGGCTTTAAACTGCTAGGTGCAAATTAGAAATTAGTTGCATCGGAAACGGTAGAGATAATAACGTTATCTTATGCAATGTAATCATGAAGTGCTAAAGTTGTTATACATACCTATAAGTTGTTATGCTTATGTTGTTTGTGGTAATTTTTTAAGTAAATGTATTATGAAACCAACACTAGAAGACCCATAATAAAACAAAACCCATAACAAAACCCAAAATATTATATTAAAAGTGCATTTAGTGTTCAATACTGAAAAAGTAATCTGTCTTGTGATTACATTTTTAAAACAATTTCATCATACGGTGATCGGTGATTAATGTTTCCAGGGATAAACACATTTTTTAGATTAGGATTTTTTAAACAATATTAGGAAAGACACATCATTACTATTAATACAAATGAAAAAAATATAATTCTTATTAATATAAATATATATCGCAATGTTATCAATGAGGCGTAAACTTTTGATTGGTTAAGTGCCTGATAGACTATTTAACAGTTCGTAGATTACACTGACATTTAAGTAAACTATAGGATAACAACATTTACGATACGACCATTTTTAGGTGTGATTTAGTTAATAAAACGTGAGAATCAGTTTAAGGTACCTACCACAAACACAAGTCTTGTAATCTAACTTCGAGTGAAATAATTAGGGCAATCATTTATGTTTACCTACCTAAATATTAAAAGAATTATAAATAAATGTTGCCATGAAACAGTATTATTTTGAATATATTTACCTATTACTAGATCAATTACTATCATTCTTTTAGATGACCTTAGGTATAGCTTAACAGTTAAAAAAATGGAGATTTAAATGAAAAAGTACTACAGAATTATTAAGCTTGATGATTGAAAAGTTGTATGTAATACTTATGTTTTGTTTTATCTATATTGCTAAGCGTTGGTTTACCTATGTGATATAACCACAAGAGTGATTGTAACGTAAACGTAAATTCAGATAAGCTATTTTCTTTATCCTTTACTTTACCAACCGTAGTGGATGTACATATGTACATATATTCATAGAACCAAATTGAGCACAACCTCTTCAATAACGACGACTTTAGAACCTATTTTTAAAGGTTAAAAAAACATACCCCTATAGAATACTTGTCTGACTGTTAGACTAGGCACTCCAACCTTCTTCGTGAATGTCTAAAGCTTTTCTTGCGGATTGTACTTCCGTCTAAGACTTTTATACCAGGAAAAACTTTGCTTTAAATACCTTAGATACCGACCACATAAGATCCTACGACTCTGGTGCTAGTAAATAAATACCTAAATAAATAATCCATATCAATACTAATATTATCAATGCCAAATTGTATCTGTCTGTCTGTCTGTCACCTCTCAACGCTTAAACCGCTGAACCGATTCAGATGAACTTTGGTACAGAAATCGTAAGAGTTCCGGGAAAGGGCATAGAGTAGTTTTTATGCCAGAAAACATAATTTAAAGGGGTGAAAAGTGGGTGGAAGTTTGTATGGGGAATCAATCACCGATTTAGATTGAAGCTACTTTGATTCTTAAGGAAAGACAGACTACTTTTTGCCGCGATAACCGATATTTACGCGAGCGGAGCCGCGGGCAAAAGCTAGTAATAAATAAATAACCTTAGCCACTCTTTGAATTACTAAACGAATTGCGATCACCAATGGTTCTTAGTGGTCATATTTTCATTCACTGAATCGTAAACTATGACGCTGGTTCCATCGTTCATTAGTATCCTTTAAGAGAGAAGAAGTCATCGAAAAAAAAAACATATTGAAAATATCAGAAAAGATGTATATTATTAAACTTAATCAGCTACAAATAACAAAATTGAAATTAAGTAAACTTTAGGTTGAAAATTGAAACAATACAAGTCAACAGTAAAATACGGTATTCAAGATGTTGTTTCTGACATTGTGGGGGTCAAACGCCATGCAGGTGCATGTGACAGCGATGGGACAAGGGCGGAGTGCGGGGAGGCAGAGGGGGATGCAACTCGATCCGGACACAGGCTTTTGTCACAACCGACCTCTTCCGACGCGGCCGACCGGCACTAACACTGTGTGACTTTACTTTTATTGTTTTGATAAAATTGATCTTTAAATATCGCCGCATGTTTAATTTTATTATGGAACAAACTTTTTTTATTTTTTTCATTTTTTCAACTTAAACTAGTAGGACAAAAGGGGTAATAACACCTAATTAGATATTTAACGAGTCTGTAGATACAGTTTTAGAGTACAGTAAATACTAACACGGTAGAAAAATATTACCTATATATTACCTATAATGAGAATAGCTAAGTATTCAACTTTTGACCAGCCGATATTAAATATTGAAAGTGAAAGCAAGTGTAAATAGAAATATTTAGTGAATATAAACTATCAGCTTTCAATAGCTCAATTATTCGACATTTCTACATTTATATTTTAATCTAATGCACCAGGCAATACAATAGTACACGTATCACATCAACAGCCTTTACTAGTCCACTGCTGGACATAGGCTTCTCCTTAGAAAGGAGGTTTAGTACACGTATAGTGAAAACAATTATTTCTGGTGTCTGAAATACTGACTATTGGGAACATATACCCTGTATCTGTATCAAGCGGGACACTGTTTATGTTATTTTAAAAATACCTTATATTTTTAGTGTTCAGTTTCTGTAGATTTAGTTTTTTTTAATTATTATAAGTTTAATTGCGAAACAAAACTTCACTTCACCACTTACCTTGTAAGTTACTGCAAACGTCGATGTTGTTCAAATAGTATACAACGTCAGAGTTCAGTTTTTGGTCTTGCTTTTGACATATAATAAATATCCAGACGAGAAGCCATTCAAACAAGTAGGTACTCAGATTTTATAATTTTATTCGTTTTGTATCGCGTTTTTAATTGTTTATTTTAAAGTTCTAGCAATTTCAATTTTACTCTTAAAAAATGGCAGCAAAATCAAAGAAAGTCGTACAGCGGGCAAACAAATGATAATATATTTTTGGAATGTGACAAAATTAATTTGAATTTGGAATTTCAAGCTGAATGAAAGAAATTGTCATTTACACTAGTGTAACTGACAACATTTTTATATTTTAAAGTTCATACTTACTTTATTATATAAGTACATTCATTTTTAACTATAACCAATAAAAAAAAAAATTAAAATATCTGAGTTCGGGAAAAACGCGGGAAAAACGCTTCCGACTTTTGCAAATCCGAAGTCGAATACTTACACACATTAGCTTAGCACAATATGGGAGTGATAGTTGCTAAGATTGGCATTTAACGTTTATAAACATTAACAGGTCTCCAGTTGATTATGTTGTTGGATTTATGAGCGGATTCAATTTCCAACAGATTTATAAAATCCTGTTTTACGTGTGACTTAATAGTAAAAACTACCTAGAACAGAAACTGGCTGTGAGTAAAGAATTATATAATTCCAAAGAATAATATAATTTTTTACTCACAGCCAGTTTTTGATTTTCTTTAAATGTTGACAATACTATTTATTATTCACATACGTATCATTTCTTTGTACTAATTTGTTAGAAAACACCTTTTGAATTTGTACTTACCTATCACTTGCAGATTTATTTACATTTTTAGGAACATATTGCTTTATTGGGATGCCTCAAATCGTCTCACGGCACAGCACGCCTGTTTTATTTCACTGCTTAAAGTATCTGTATTTTACGCCGATGGTCTACCACATTTAGTGCATATAATTTTCGCACAGCTTTTATATAATATCTCATTAATAGATCTTTACTGATCTGAGATAGAAAAAAAAACAGAATTTTCAGTTATAATTATCTGTAGATTGGCGCCCAATTCGATATTCAAATAAATTTTACTCGAAAGCCATGTTATTTTAATTTAAAATTCAGTCATTTGTTTTAGGTAGTGTGGGTAGTTTTAGGTAGTTTTTGTGAAATTGTGGTAGTTTTTGGCGCCATGGATAAACCGCTGCGAACCGATAAAATACCGCTGCGAAAACACCAAACATTAACGACGTGTACACTGCTTGCATAAACACGGTCCATTATTGGTTCAATCGTTTTAGATCTGGAAATATAGAGTTGAAGAACGAGCCTCCCAGTCGGTCGGTAACTATAGTCGACAACGACAAATTGAAGGCGACAATGGAAGCGGATCCTATTCAATCTACGACTCAGCTTGCTGCAGCCTTTGGAGGTAGTATCAAACCAACATTGAAGTACTTGCGTCAAATCAGAAAGATAAAAAAGCTAGCTAAGTGGGTGCCACACTAACTAAACGACCATCAGTAAGACTTATGGGTCGCAGCACGCATAGTA